GGGCTGGGAGGGCCTGGGCGGCTGGGGAAGGCGTGGCCTGGCTGGGTTTTGACTCTCTGGCTCCCATGGGGCAGGGGTGGTACCAGGGCCACCTGATGTGCCCAGCAGCGAGGACCAGCATGGACAGTCCGCCAGGGTCCCAGCGGCCCCTCTCAGTCAGAGGGGGAGGGGCGGATGACGAGTCTGGCCAGTGACACAGCAGCAACATACACCACTTCCAGAATGTCCCCAGGCCCTCCCTCGTCCCCGTCCCCACTGGATGGCAATGCCAGGTAGCCCTGGGAGTACCACTGGACCCACCTGCCCCTCTGCCCGCCGCCACCCCAGGCCCCTCCCTCCCACAGCCTGGCCCTGCCCAGCATCTCCCTCCTACCCCCCCCACACAACTGTGACCAGCACCCCCATAAGGACCCTCTCCTGAGAGGAGCCCCCAGAGGCTGGGAGGAACCCCCCCACAATGGCCTTCAGGCCCGTGCGCCTGACACCACTCTCTGGGCCATTAACCCGGTTTTGCTCCCCTCATCCCCTTCCCTATTTCTACCTGCCACCCAGACGGGGAGCCGGAGAGCAGAGGGTCCCTGGGCCTGGTCACAGCAGCCTGCCGCGGCAAGGACCAGAGCTCAGGGAGCAACAGGGGCCTGGGGCCTCTCAAGAAGGGGACCATGGGGTCCCGCACGTGTCCTCTGCCCCAAGCGTGCAGATAGCTTGAAGGCTGGGGCATGGCTGGGGCCTCCCAGCCCCCGTGCTCTGTCCTGCAAGGTCCTGCCTAGGTGGCGGGGCAGGAAGGGACAGGCCGGTTGACCTAGGCCCCACAGGCAGGCTCGGCCACTCCTGCCCCCCAGGCCCGCTGCCCCCTCCCGGCAGCCCCTTCTCCCCTCTCAGGAGATGGCTTCCCCACCTGCCCTTGTCCTCACCTCAGCCACAGTCAGCGGCTGCCTGCCTACACCCACCCCTGCAGCCCCAGGCCCACCCCCTTGGGCGCAGTGTCACTGTCCTGGGGGGGGGTGTCTGCATCCCACAACCCCCAGCCCAGCCTGGGCCTGGGGCAGGGGAAGGAGCCAGGAGAATAAAGGGTTTGCTGCGAAGCTTCGGGGGCACTGCACTCCCTTGTGGGAGAGGGGAGCACCCACAACCACGCACGCACCCTCTTACACACTCACAAGTGCACATACTCTACGTTTGGATTTTCTTTTTTTTTTTTTTGGTGCTGAAATAGAACCCAGGGGTGCTCTACCACCAAGCTACACCCCAGCCCTTTTTATTTCGTTTTAAGTCAGGGTCTCCCTAAGTTGCTGAGGCTGGCCTCAAACTTGTAGGTCCCCGCTCTTACCATTCCCCTCTCATGGCCACTGCCCCCACACACACCGGGGCCCAGCCACACCAGGGCAGGGAGGGCTCCTGGGCACAGCAACCTCCCGGAGAGCGGACAGAGGAAGAGCACAGGGCACGCTCAGCCCGGCCAGGCAGAGGCACCATCTCACTTTAAAGGAGACAGCGCTCCTTGGATCTTGCCCATGTTACTGCAAGTCACAGAAAATGGCAGGGTTTTTCTGAAAGACACTTCGAGCTAATTCATCCAAAGCCCTCCAAAGCTGCACGCATGGGCATATCCTCTAGCCCATTAATTCCACTTCCAGGAAATGTGTCCCAAGGAAATATTTGGACAGGTGAGTAAAGAGGTGGATCCAAGGATGCTCGCTGCAGCACCAGGGAGAAGAGCCAGGAATGGAGGGGGTTCGCCAAGCCGCAGACAAACACCACAGAAATGAATCGTGGCGATCCCGTACACAGATCCGGGAGGGCTACGAAAAAACTGCAAAATATCATCATTGACATAGAAAGATAATCACAGTCGATTGCTGAGTTTGAGACAGGCTACGAGACTCCACCTGTTGATGCCATTTCAATTAAAATCTGTATTGATAAAGAGAAATCTGAAAGTGCATACATCAAAATGTCAAGGGACAAAGATTATCTATGGGGAGAAAGCCAGATGATTTTTCATTTTCCTCTCTTTTGTATTTTTCTGACAAATACAAAATCGTCAATTAAGGTTCAATTAATGTGGTGTGTGTGTGTGTGTGTGTGTGTGTGTGGCTGGAGATGGAACTCAAGGTGTCCCGTAGGCCAGACGAGGGCTCTTCCACTGAGCCACATCCCAATCCCAAATATTTCATTACATACGCCCTGTTCAATACACTGCAAGGCCACATGGGACTGCTGGCATTAGCTGCTTCTAGGAACAGGGAACTGGTGGCTGAGGGTCAGGTCACTGGGCAGTTTTTCTCTGTGTATTCTTTGTGTGCCCTTTGGATTTCGAATCACATCAACTTCTTTTCTTTTCACGGATACAAATTAAATTTACATTTTGTGGGCTGGGGATATAGCTCAGTTGGTAGAGTGCTTGCCTCACATGCATAAGGCCCTGGGTTCAATCCTTAGCACCACCAAAATTAATTAATTAATTAATTAAATTTACATTTTGAAACAAAAGAAAAACATTTCAGGGCATCTTTGATACCTTACAACTTCCATTTCTGTGCAGCAGAGTCACAAACTCAAATAGCTAGAGGCATCAGGGAGATCCATGAAGGACAGGCCAGTGTGAGCAATAGGGAGGAGTGGGGGCTGTGGCCCGCTGGAAAGCAGAAGCCCTTCTCTGGTGCAGCGTGATTCTGCTTGAGCTGATTAGATCACACAGGAAGGCTGCCCAGGCTGCCAGCCCTTGTGGTTGATCAATAAAAGCCACCCAAACTTCCCTGTGCATGCCCTTATCGTAACCCACACACTGCCTACCCCCGAAACACGAGCCTCTGCTGCCTGGTACAGGCCTGTCTGCAAGTCCTTCATTAGGAAAAAAAAAAAAAAAAGCCAGACTGCGACATTTATTCCTATTTAGAGCCCCTCAGAACACTAGGAGAAGAACCTTGCCCTGGGTTAAACAGTGGCTGCCCCAGGGCACAGTCTAAAACCCCGTGCCCCTGACTTCAGTTCTAACCATAATTAGTTAACGTGGCTCAAAGGGAGCCGGAGGTTTACGGGGCTACTGGTCTTTCTCAGTACATCAGCATCTTAAGGGAGCAAGAGGAGAAATCAGGGCCCAATGCAGGAGATGAGTTCGCCCAACTCTTCTGGAAAGGATGGCCTCCGTGTAAGGCTGGGCTGGTCAGAAGCCCAAGTCGAGGTGCAGAAGAAGCCGGAGTCCAGGCTGGGTGTGGAGCACTGACCTAGGGAACGTGAGGTTCCATTCCCAGCAAAAGTGGGAGAGGAGGAGGGCGGAAGGAAGAGGGAGAGTGCGATCGCTGGCCTCTGCCTCCACCTCCCGGCCTGTGCCCACCCTGAGCCCTCCAGGTTCACACCCTGGCCAGCCTGGGGCCCAACACACCCATCTGCAGGATCCCAGCCACACGGGGTAAAGGCAGGACTCAAGTCAAGGCTGACTTGAGTCCTGCTCTGCCATCTTAGCAGGCTCCCTCCTCAGGGCCACTTCCCAGTTACTTCACCTTTGAAATGAAGCTGAGGTCCCCTTTCACAGAGTGGCTGTGAATGACAGGGGGTGAGAGGTGAAGAAGTTGCAGGTGAGAGACGGCTCTTTACTCATCCAATAGGCAAAGCACTTTAAACGGTCACACTTGGGGCTCATGAACGTGTAGGGGAAATGGGACGTTTTCGTGCCCTTAAATGCGACTGCCCTGTACAGTTCGAGGGGGGCTTCTGCACATCGCAAGACTCCCTAAATCCCAATGCGCCCTTGCTGCTGAGCGCCTGCACTCACAGCTGTTAGTACTCGAGTTCCTCCCGATGACAGATTGGGAGGCCCAGGGCTATTAAGTGACCTGCTCATGTGGCACTCAGGAGTGCCATAACTCAGGAGTCAGAATTACTGACGTCGCCCCTCCCCTCCTCCTGGAAGCCTTGTCCTGGGTCCCTCCCTGCCTTCTCAGATCGACAGGATGGGACTTGGCTGGGCACCCCGCGACCCCAACTGGATCCACTTCCACAGGGCACCACATGCCCACCAGCCAGCAACAGTTGCTTCTGAGGTCCCCCTGGCTTTGCCCTGACTTTGGCACCTCTGGGGCCCCAGCTCAAATCCTCAAGTCTCCAGGTACCTTTTTGTCCAAGCAGCAAATCTCAGGCCCAAAGAGGAAGCTCCACGGTGAAATGGTCCCACAAGGTAGCTAAGTGGGGAAGAGCCACTGGGAGACAAACTGGGGTGCTATCCAGGCAGGCCCTGTGGTACGGGCTGGCAGGACATCCCCATTATATGGACAAAAGACCCTAATCTGGGGCACCAGCAAAGGTGCTCAGGCCACCATTGCCCTGTGGCCACAAGGGCCAGCAAGGGTCACCCAGCAAGGAGTCACAGACACTCCCTGAGAGGGAACCATGCTTTGACACTGTGGTCACTGACCTCCCCTCAGCCCACGCATTCAGTCAGCTTCTCAAGGGGAAGGCCACCATCCAGCTCTAACAGCCAATTAGCACATGGCATCTCTGGCCAAAGTGATTGGCTCACGGTAGGCACGTGACCTAAAGCAGATCCAATCAGAGCACAGGTTGAAACTTCCTAGGGGAATCCAAGCCCTGAAATCCGGTGATAGAGACAGGCGATCTAGGCAAAGTCTGCTTTTCAATCGTAGACTCTGGAGCACCTGGCACCCCTCAAAGGGCCACAAGGAGAGTCCTTCAGTCCAGAGCATCGCCAAGGACGCAGAATGAAGAGCTGGGACTGGGAAAGAGAGTCCTGATCACGTTTTTATTCTGGATCAGGCCTCACCTGAAGTTACAGTTAAAAGAGCCTAAGAACTGCTGTGTGTTGCTTAAGCAAGTTTAGGTTGGGTTTTCTATTACCTACAACCAAGAGAATCCTAAATACCTGGCAGAGCTGTACAGGTACCCAAGATGAAAGTCAGCCTTGTTGTGCATAAGATCTGCCTGTCCCTCCCACCCCACCCCCAGGTCCTACACCCTGTCCCAGGAACAAACACAGGCACAGGTGCCACACACAGCACTGGGTGGACTTTTATTTTAAAGTCAAAGGCACAGCCTGGATGGGCTGAGGCAGTGACAGTGGATGCCCAGCCCACACGGCCCCACCCTCGGCCAGGAGCAGCTGTGCAAAAGGGGAAAGGGTGGGTGAGAAAGGGGCCTCCCCTCTAAGGGTCGCCTACCTCCTTCCTTAGCCCCAATAGGGGAGAAGCAGGTGACATAAAGTGAGGCAGAAATGCTCCAGGGGGCCCCAGGGTCTCTCCCTCAATCCCCCCAACACAGGTCTTTGGTGGACATAATTGCACAGACAGTCCATAAAGTGACAGCTTGAGGAGTGTCCCCTCCCAGAAGCCACGCCTCAAGGGAGAACAGGGAGGGGTCCCAGTTTCTCGCCAGTGACAACCCAGCGTGTAGGAACGGGGAGAGGAGCCCTCCCCAGTTGGAGCAGCCCCTGGGCGGAACCTTCCGCCAGGTGAGGCAGTGTCTGGGAGAGGGCGGCGACACGCACTCCGGCAGCCCCCCTTCCCTGCACCCCTAACTCTATCTGGTAAGACATAAAAAATTCTCTGCTTATAAAAATACTTCTGCTCTGTCGGGGAGTGGGGTGCGGGAGGGTGAGGAGGGGGCGATTCCCGGGGACGGGGTGGAGCTGCTGGCAGAAGCCAGGTCCCAGCTCCTCCGGGAAGGGGTCACAGTGGTGTGGGGCTAGGAGGGGGGCAGGGGGCCGTTGGCTCGGCGGGAGGCTCCCTTGGCGGCAGGGGCCCGGCCCGGGGCGGCAGGCGCGGGGGAGCCGCGGCGGGAGGCGGCTGCGCTCCGCAGCTTCTGCTTGCGCCGCTTGGCGAGCGGCGCGTTCTCCACGCTCTTCAGGAAGAAGCCCTCCCGCTTGCCGCGATTGAACGCCTGGTGGGAAGGCAGGGTGAGGCTCGATCCTAGCTGGCCCTCCTCCTACCAGGTCTTGACCTGCAGCCTCCCAAAGGTGAGGACCCCAAAGGACCCGAGGCCAGGCTTGGTTGACCCGACCCTTCCAGGCTCGGGCTCCGCCGCCTCCCCCGACCCAGATCGAGGCTCCGCCCACCCCGCCGGCCCCGCCCTTACCATGAAGGTGGCGTTGAGCCCCGAGCGCACCGCGGGCCCAGAGGACTCCAGCACGTCCGGCGTCCGCAGTGGGGGCGAGGAGCGCGCGCTGCCGTCCTGCAGCCACGAGCTACCCCGCAGCCCCTCGAGCTTCAGCCGCTTGGCGGGGTCCACAGTCAGCAGCCCTGGAGGAGGGACAGGGAAGTGTGAGAAAGGGGTCATGTGGAGGCTGCACCCCAGAGATCCAAACAGCCCCACTCTCCTCTTTATCCATCCCCCAACGAGGACACCGGACCCAGTGACCATGCCTGCCCCAGAATAAGTAACCGTATGACCTCCCCGTCCCCAACCATGGATTGCGACCTCCAGCTCCGCACCTCGGACCAGCTCCTTGGCTTCCTCTGACACGCCCTGCCAGGCCTCCCCGTCAAGGGAGAAGCGCCCCTCTCGGATCTTGCACATGATTTCGGCTGCCTGGCTCTGCCCGCCCTGGCCTGAGGCCCCCTGGAAGGGCACCTGCCCCGACAGCATCATGTACTAGGAGAAGGTGGGCGGGGGGTGGGGAGGGGGAGAGTGAGACCTTACAGGCTGCAGGGCCCAGGCTGACCCCTAAGCCCACCCACAGACCATTCGCCTCTACCTGGGGTGACTCCTGAGACCCTAGCATGATGAACCCTGATTTCTACCCCTAGTACACGGATGCCTCAATCCCCAAACCACAGCGACGCCCTGTATTTAGGAAGACCCCCGATCTCCATCTTAGATGCAAGCCAGCCATCCCCACTAAAGCGACCTGGCCCCCCCGCCTCGTTTACTCCCGAATCAGTGAGACCTCCAACCCAGGCTTGGGCCAACCTGAAACCTTCTTGGGGACCACGACTCCTACCAGAATGACGCCCAGGCTCCAAAGGTCGCAGGACTCGTCATAACCTTGCTGCGCCAGCAGCTCAGGGGCGGCATACTGCAGCGTGAAGCAGGGCGTCTGCATGGGCCCGGCGGGGCTTTGCGGCCGCAGTCGCGCGAACCCGAAATCGATGATCTTCACCGGCGCCCCGGGCGTGTCATCCGCGTACAGGATGTTCTATAGGGACAGCGGCCCGCGGTCAGAGGCGGCCTCGCGCGCCCACCTCTGCCCAGCGCCGAGGTCCCTCGCCCACCTCGGGCTTGAGGTCGCGGTGCACCACGCCCGCCTCCTCGTGCATGAAGCTCACGGCTGACACGAGGCTGCGCAGGATCTGGCTCGCCTCCGACTCGCTGAAGTGCCGCTTCTTGCGGATGTGCTCCAGCAGCTCCCCGCCCCGCAGCAGCTCCAGGACCAGGTACGTGTGCAGCTGCGGGCGGCGCGGAGGGCCACGGTCACCACGCCGCCACTGACGGAACCCAGCCAGGCGCACACAGCGGCCAGGCCAGGCCCCAGTCCTCCGACCCCTCATGTTCCAGCCCTGACCTTAATACCACCCGCAAGAGCCACGCATAGGCCTCACCTCAAGTCCTCGGATTCTACCCCTCCCAGGACCCGCTTCTTTGGCCACTTTAAAGCCCCGCCCCCGTAAATCCTGACACTTTACACGCCCTCCGCAAAGTCCATCTCCTAGGCCATCCTCCGGCCCGCCCTACAGTCCTCGGGACCTACTGCCCTCAAATCCCACCTCTCGGCCTCCTGGGTCCCCTCAGGACCCCAAGGACACCGCATCCGATCCTACGCCCCGCCCATGGCCCTCAGGCCCCTCCACCTGATCTCTGGCGTCCCTGCAGTCCACCTCAGCCTGGAAGCAGTCACCTGGTCGTGATGGACCTCGTGCAGATTCACCACGTTGGGGTGCGACTGGCACAGCCTCAGGGCGGCCACTTCGCGCTGCGTGTTCGCCTCAAGCCTGGGGAATGGGGCAGGCGCGATTAGAGTGGCCCTCTGGGATTGGAGTGGCCCTCTGCCAGCCCCGGCACCCAGGCCAATTGGCTGGGGGTCGCTCCCACCTGCGACTGAGGATCTTGACTGCAAACTCCTGACCGCTCTGGCGCTGGCGGCAGCGACGACACACAGAGAAGCTGCCCTGACCCAGAGCCGGCTCCCGAAGGTCCAGCTCGTACTGCTGGAAGAATGGCGAGTCCTGGAGGCAAAGGGGGCGCATCAGAGGCCCACCCTGGAGACCCATGGCCACACCACACCAAGACCCACCTCAAAGAGACTCAGGACCTCATCAAAGACACTGGGGGCGCCTGGTGCACTCAGTTCGTACTCCCCAGCCCAGACCCCTCACACCCAAAGTTAGTATTTCCCCAGCCCAGCCCAGCCCACCTGCATCATGGCACTCCTGGCCACCGCTGCCCGGCCAGGCCGGTCTCCAGCGCTGGGGGCTTCCAGCGCGTCAATCATCACAGCATTGTTGTGATCAAACAGGATGGACGGCGCCACGAAAGAGTATCCCTGCAAGGCGCAGTCAGGGGCACATAGGCATGGGGGTCAGGGGTGCGGGTGAGGAACCCTGGAAAGCCTGCGCCAGAGGGTGGGGGAGGCAGAAGGAAGACCGGGGCAAAGGGACTGTGGGAGACGTCCCCATTGCATCCTGGTGCAGAGGGGATGGTGGACACATTCTGTTCCACCTGGCTTCATAATGGCTTGGGGCCCTGTCAGTCCCCCTCCAGTCTCTGACCCCACCTTCCTCAACACAATGAGGTCCCTCCCAAAGTACCTGGCACATGCTAGTGACCAAGAAAATGACAGGCAAAAGCATGAAAGCACTGTGGCCTGACATCATACACACTCGGCTCATGAGAAGTCAACGCTGCTGAGGGGAAAAAAAAATCCTTCCCTTTCAAACCAGAATCTGGCCCCCTTGGCAAGGTGGAGCCACTGAGGACGTGGGGAGAGAAGCCAGAGTAAATTCTTTGGCTTTCCTGGGGCCCCATGTGCCAGCAATTCCAGAGAGCTTCAAGGGTAACTTTAACTGTGTGCTGCTCTCTCCTGAAAACCTAGCCCCACTGTGCACTATAATGCAAGCTGCTCAGAGGCGGGACTTCCGTCTGTTAGGTTCACTGATACATCCCTGGTGCCCAGATGAGTGCCTGGCACGCTGCAGGTATTCAATACACATTTCTGAATCGTTACATAAATGAATGGAAATTAACCAACGATTAACAAAAACCAACTTTCTCATCAGACTGGGACAGTACAGTGAGGGACGTTGGAGCAGAGTTGTCAATTCTAGAGTTTCATACAGGGACTGACCCATCCATCCTTGATACTGGTCTATTCTTATTGACTACGTATGGACCGTCTTACAGGCCGGGCATCAGAGCTGGGCCTAGGGACACAAGGACCGAACACACAGTCCCACCTCTTGGGGGCATCCGGACCAGTCGGGATACAACAGGTCAAACTGCCCAGTAGAAGGTGCCATCTGCAGAGGGCTGGTGCACAGGGAAAGGGTGACCCTGGGGGCCTGGTGAGTGGTCGAGGAAGAGCCGGTGAATGGGGGCTTGCCAGGGGACTACTGTGGCAGGACACTCCAGGTAGAGGGAACAGCATGCGCAAAGACACAGAGGTGCATCCTGGAGCCTCTGGGCACTTCAGTGGTGCCCCCAACGCATCAGGTGGGGTGCTAGTGAAGAGCAAGCTGCACAGTGACAGGGGCCTGCAGAGCCACGGGATCAATGTGGCACCTCCTCCTGGATGCCCACATAAGCACGTGAGTAATTCAAAAACAGTATTTTTTTTAATAACAAGGGGATGATGGACTAGAAGGGAAATTAACACAAAGTTTAAACCATGAACCATCAAACACGTGCCCTGCTGCACTGGTCTCCATAACCAACCGACAGCCCCAGGCATCTGTAAGTGGGGAGGCCTGGAGGAGAGGCTGCGTCCTGACCGGGACCCGGGGCCTGTGTGGTGCCCACAGTCAGCCAGGGCAGGGGCAGACCGAAGCTCCCTCCTCTTCTGAGTCTGCAGATCCAGGAGTTCTCACCTGAAAGATTCGAGGGTCCCCAGCCGGGGGGCTGCCAGCGGGTGAGTAGACAGGCTCCAGCCGAGTAAATTCCTCAGCAAAGTTGCCCACATCCAGCTCTGAGCGGATCTGGGGCCGGAATGGGGCCGGGATCTTCCTGGCAGCCAGAGCAGCCCAGTCTAGACCCTGGGGAAAAGGAATCATCAGAGATTAGGGGTCCAAGGGCAGGTACTGGAGACCCCACTTCACTGGAGTCACCCCCATGGGCAGCTCCCCAACAAGGCAAGGGCATACCTGGCCTCTGGGACGGGCAGCTGTTCTACCTACCTCCCAGCTCCCGCCTCCCTCCCTCTGGTAACAGAGCCCCTATTCCCCTCGGAGAACCGCCCTCCATCACACTTCACCGGTTCTGGAGCTTGTAATAGAGTTGTCATGACAAATAAGTAAATCTGTCCTACTGCGAGGAGGTGGGTCTGGAACTGCTGAGGACCAGGACCCTCCTGAGGCTTAATGATGAAGTCCCCATGCAGAAAAGCAGAACCAAGAAGTTTCAGCACCTGTAACCAGCCTTGCCTGAAGCCAGACCCCTTTTCTTCGGACTTTTCACTCATTGGAGTATAAATATGCCCTTTTGTGTTTAAGCTAATGTGGAGGAATCTGTTAATTGCCTGTCCAATATCTACTCTCTCTGTCTTTCTTAGCACTGAAGTCACAATTTTACTCCAGGAGAAAATGTACAGAACTAAAATACAATATTTTACCCTCTCTTGATGTTAGGGATGCCCAAAAACTTATAAGCAAAAATTGCCAGGTAGGAGTGCAGGGAAAGATCCTCAGGAAGGAAAGGGGAGCCAGGCATGGTGGTGCACACCTATAAGTCCAGTGGTTTGGGAGGCTCAGACAAGAGGATCACAAGTTCAAGCCCAGCCTCAGCAACTTAACGAGTTTAACTTAGCAAGACCCTGTCTCAAAAATAAATGAATAAAAATAAAAAGGGCTGGGGATGCAGCTCAGTGGTACAGCATCCCTGGGTTCAAGAGCTTCAGCGGCCAGCCTGGGCCACGAAGCAACCCTCAGGTTGGAGGCTACGTGCTAAGAATAAGAGAGCCAAAAAAAGAGACGAGAAGAGCTTAGATTCCTGAAGACACCTTGGCACCATGGAGACACCACGCACCCGTGGCCTGCCAGCCTCTGCACTTCTTCCGTGTGAGAACAAAGCTAAAGAAAGCACTGACTTTTTAGGTCACTGTCCATCCTGATCTCTGGTGCTAGCAGCCAATTCTGTCCCAGTGGACGCCACCATTCTGAGTTGGACTTTGATCAATTGCACACAAGAGGCTTGAAGGCCCCCATTCTGCCATCAGGGAGCTCAGCACTGCTGTCACCAGAAAGACTGTGCAGAGGGCAGAAGGAAGGGAGCCCTCCTTCCAAGCTGTGGGCCCAAAGACCTGGGGGGCCTCTGCAGCTTGGCTACTCAGCCGCTCCCAGACCCATCCTGAAGCACCAGCCAGATTCAGGAATGTACGACCTTCTTCTTCTTTGAAGCACTGGGGATTGAACCCAGGAATGCTCTCCCACCAAGTACGTCCCCAGCCCTTTTTATTTTATTTTGAGACAGGGTCTTGCTGAGTTTCCTCGGCCAGCTTCAAACTGGCAATCCTCTTGCCCCAGGGCCGGAAGAGTTCACTGTGACCCTGCTCAGTCACCTCCTCTTCCCCACCCGCACCCCCGAACTTTACCTCTGTGAGAGCATCTCAGGGCCGCCTTCCAGGCTGGCATGGCTAGGAAGGTCCAGGGTCAGCATTCACAGTATGGGTGGCAGAGTCCCTGGCCACAGTGAGGGCCCATAGTGGGTGGCCCCGTGACCACGTCAGATAAGTGGCAAGTCTGATCCCCCATGTAAAAGAAGACTGTAGCAGCCAAGACACGGGCATGCAGGTCCGCTGGCCCTGGGTTTGAATCTCGGCTCAATCACTGCCTGGTTTGGTGGCACTGGGCAAATGACTGAACTTTTCTGAACCTCAGCTTCTGCGTGTGGAAAGATGGGGACCCTCAGAGGGTTCCAAAAGTAACATGAAACCATGTCAGCAAAGGGCCGCCCTGCAATGGGTGTTCACTGTCACAGGGTTCTGGCAGGTGACGCTAGGGCCACGTGCAGTGCCTGAGTCAATCAGGTCTCACGAGGCAGAGTTCACTGTGTGCCACTCTCTAACGTGCATGTGCTCTTGACAAGGGAACAAAAGCCCACGTGGCCTGATCCACGGTCCATCTGAGATACAGGCACAAGGACCAGTAGGAACAAAGAGCAGAACACCTGTGTGGATGCTGTCAGCCATGAGTGTCACTTGCAGTGCCCGTCTGGGCCATAAGAGACCCATCCACAGCAGGGATCTGCTCCCAACTCCCCACCATTCCCGTGCCATCTTGGGCAGGGCACCAGCCTTCTGTGGCTCTGTCCTCTGAAAGCACTGGCCAGTCCACTCCCAGGTGCGACTGTGATGAGCCTGGTGTTCCTCCCTCCTGGAACACACCTGCCCAGCTTCTGTGGAAACGGCGTGAGCCCAGCCCCTAATATGCACACCGGCCTTGTCCATCTGAGGGTTTCTGGATAAAGTAGATCTGGCCCGGCTCAGACTGTCCCTCCAGTGTCCCCCCATCCAGAGCAGCAGCCTGGCCTGGGATGTACAGGAAGTGTGGGCCCCCGGGTCAGAAGCCTCACCTGGAAGAAGGGATGGTTCTTGACCTCCTGTGCCCCCTGGGGACCCGCACCCAATCGCTTCTTAGGGTCCTTGCACAGCAGCCGCTGCAGCAGGTCCTGCGCCACGGGCCCAATCCGGGGGGGGAAGGGAGGGGAGCACTTCAGGATCCGTCTGGGAGGATGGGTGGGGCGTCAGGGGCAGCGAGCCCCCCCCACGGCCCAGCCCAGGCAGGCCCTGCAGCCCCTCGGCCGCCCCCCGCCACCAGCCCACTCACCGGGACACCTCGGCCTGCGTGTTCCTCTCGCCCTCCAGTGTGAAGGGCGAGGCACCCGTCAGCAGCTCGAAGAGCAGGATGCCCAGGCTCCACCAGTCCACCGCCTGCCGAGGCGGGGCAGGGGTGAGGGTGGTGAGGGCCTATGGGCTCCCACTCACGCCCCGCCACTACCACCCCAGCCTCCCCACCAACCAACCTTGCCGTGCCCCGTCTTGCTACGAATGATCTCAGGGGCCATGTACTCAATGGTGCCACAGAAGGAGAAGGTCCGCTCTTTCTAGAAGGACAAGAGGACCCATTCGTTCATCCACTCCTCTCTGGCACCCCAGTGGCCTCCAAGGCTCAGAGCAGGAGGCCTTGCAAGGCCGAGGGTGAAATGGGGGAAACTCCTGGATCTGTTGACTCTGCACCCCCAGAATGCAGACAGGGAACAGGAAGAGACAGGCGAAAGGCCTGAATGAGGGAAGCTCAGCGGAGACTACACCCGCTCACCTCTTCCGTCAGGAACTCTTTGCTCAGGCCGAAGTCCGTGAGGACGATGTGGCCCTCGGAATCCAGCAGCACATTCTCCAGCTTCAGGTCTCGGTAGATGATGCCCAGCTGGCGGGAGCAAGAGGGGAACTAAGGCTCCCTCCACAAGACCCTCCCCAGCTCCTACCGCTGGTCTGGTCTCTGCACCAGGTCCCTTGCTCAGAGTAAGGAGAGCCCCAGAGAAGATCATCCACCTGCCAAGGCATCTCTAGGGCAAGAATGGGCCCGGGGTGCAGCTGCACCATTAGATTAAAAAGAAGCCACTGAAGATCAAAGGAAATCAAGGAGTGAAGGGGCGCAGGACAGGCTCTGAGGTCCCCAAGAAAGGAGGCTGTGTGAAGAGCCCAGGCCTCAGGAGACAAGTCAAAAGTCTCCATTTGAGGAAGTTCTGTGAAGGCAGCCCAGAGTTCCTGGTGAGAGGAAAGCCCCTTCCAGGAGGCACCAGGGGAGGGGACCCCACCAAGCAGCACTGAGGCTTCCTGCCAGGAGGCCTGGGGAAGCAGCTCTGGTCCCCACCAAGGCCACCACCCCACCCCCCGGAAGCCCAGGGTGTGAAATGAGACTGCCTCTTTGGAGGCCCCTCATTAAACCAGACCCAGTTCCTATGACAGCAGCCGGGAACCTGGGTTCTCACCCACCTTGTGCAGGTGTTCCAAAGCCAGCACGATCTCACCCCCATACACGCGCACCTCGGCCTCCTTGAAGTACTGGCGCTGGTAGAGGTGGGTGAACATCTCACCGCCACTCACGTAGTCTGAAGGTGCACTTGGTGGTTAGACTCGGCCCCCTCAGGTGGCCTCACTGGCCCCCATTCCCCCAAGTTGGTATGTGGCAGTGCCCTCACCCAGAATGAGGTGCAGCTTGGCATCGGTTTGGAAGGCGTAGTGCAGCGTGACCAGGAAGGGCGCCTGGCGCACCAGCTCCAACACAGAGCGCTCGGTGCGCGTGTGCTCCTGCGTCTTGGCGCGCTGTACCAGCGCCGCCTTCCGCAGCACCTTCATGGCATACAGCTTCCCCGCGTCGTGCCCGCCCGCCTTTCGCACCAGGAACACCTTCCCGTAGGCTGTGGGAGCAGCGAGTGGGTGGAGGGTGGGCTGTGAGTGGGAGGGCGGTGCAGACTGGTGGGAATGGGGGTGATGCCAACCCAGAAGGGTGTGCACGCTGCGGGTGAGAGGCACGTGTGCCAAATGCTGGCAGAGCCTTCTAAGGAAAAGGTGTGCACATCTCCGGAGGGTGCTCAGCAACACCAGAGAAGGGGCATGCAAACCAGCCTGGGGCAAGAGCAACTCCAGGGGCTGGGGGTGGGGTGGGGCACATGCAAACCTGCCAAGCTCAGAGGGATGGAAAGGGATGCAAATGGAGGAAGGGCAGCAGAGGTGCACTCCTGGCCAGAGGAGGGATGTGCACACCAAGATAAGGAGTTTGCAAAATATGGGCCGGTGCTGTCACAGAGGGGAGGAGCTGTGCAAATCACTTGGGATGGGTGCATGATCCCAGGGAGGCTGGCGAGTCGCAGCAGGGGGCATGCACACGCAGGATCTTGCAGGGAGTAATGATGTCAACGTGGAGCGCCCTGGAAGTGGGCATGAAACCCTGGCACAGTAGGGTGGGGCTGGCAGGGCGAGCTGTGCCGGGAAAGGGTGGGGGGCCTCCCCGGTGGCCTGGCCCAGGCCCAGGCGGGTGTGCGGGCTGGAGGCACAAGACACTATGCCTGGGGCACCTGCACAGTGGCCAGGGTCCTCACCTCCCGTGCCCAGCACCTTGAGCAGCTCGAAGTTCTCCACGCTCACCTTCTCCTCGTGTCCGGTCAGGTTGGCTGCGGGCACAGGGGGCGAATGAGCCCAGCTAGCCCCTGGCCCCTCATCGCCTGCCTAGGGCAGCCACCACCAGGCCCCGCACCCACCTTCGATGATCTGCAGTTCTACCGCGCAGCCCTCGTCCTCATCCTCGTCCCCCATGGCGGGCGGGTCGCTGGGGCCCGCGCGGCTCGGGCTCCGGGCGGCGCCGGTTACATGGCGGCTCCCGCCGGGGCGGGCGCTTCCTGGTGCCGCCTCCGGGGCCGAGCGGGCGCCAGCACCGCCTCCCGGCTCCCCGCCCCGCGCGGCCTAAGTCAGGCGGCTGGAACGTGACAGCGCAGGGCTGCGGGTGGGCAGCCAGCGGAGGTGGCCCTGTGTCCCCAGCCTGGGGCAGGCGCCCGGGCTGCGCGCTCTTGAGCCCCACTCGACCTGCCCCGGGGGAACTGAAATGGCCCAGTGTGGCTGCTGGGGCCGCGCCCCCAAGCCAGGTGCTTGTTCAGGATGCCCCCTGCAGCCAGTGGTGTCCAGAGCCCTGGGGAGGGGTGCCCACACAACCTCCCTTCCACCAGCGCCTGCCCCAGGGCAGACAAGCCACTCTGTTCAATTCTCTCCATACCCAGTAAGAGTGCGCCACTTAACAGGGGTGATAACCCACCACCTCCTCACCCTTTTTTTTCCCTCCGTGCTGGGGAAACTCAGCCACTGAACTACATCTCCCACCCCCTTTATATTTTTTATCTTGAGACAGTTTCACTCATTTGCCCAGGGTGGACTTGCCACCCTCCTGCCTCAGCCTTCTGGGTGGCTAGGGTTACAGGCCTGCAAGGATGCGCTCAGAAGCTTCCCTTTTGGTCGCTCCTTGACTGTTTACCTGAGAGACAAGCAGGCGAGGCCAGCTGCTGCCTGCACAGCTCAGACAGCTCCTGTCCCTCCAGGGGTCCTCTGGCTCTGGATGCCAGGAGGGCTAAGAGAGTGTAGGAACCGGGCCTCAGGAAGGAATACCTGGCCGGGGCATGACTCACTGGCCAGCACTCATCTGGCATGCACGAGCCCTGGGTTCAGTCCCCAGCACCACGAAATAAGAAAAGGAATACCAAAGCCACACAGGGGAAGTCCCCTCTCCCATCAGGCCCAGAACCCCTGGCTGGCCTGGCCTCCAGAAACCACCAAGCAGGGTTGGGCAGCCACAAGAGCCCCCATCCCTAAGACCTCCGGGAGGGGGCCCTCAGCTCTTCTGTCCACTGGAGGGCAGCGGCCTGCCCTGACTCCACCCTCCTGTGGAGAGGAGGGAGGAGCCACGCCTCCCAGCTAAACCTGCCCCCAAATTCAGCCTGCCTCAGGTCAGCCCCCAGCAGCCCCGCCTTCCTTCCCCTGGGTGGCTCCAGGTACACTGACTCACATCCTGTCCCCAGCCTAATTGCCTCCTTCTCAGGTGTCATCCTAGAGGTCCTGATCAGAGTCCCAGTGTCCCTCCCACCACTTGTGGCAGCTCCTGGTTATAGATGACACTCCACCTAGTGAGCTGTGAGCTACCCAAGAAAGGCCTCAACCCCAAAGGGGTGGGGGAAAGATGAGGAGGCCAGAAGATACGAAGGGGAGAGGAGGGTGCCCTGGGGAGGGAGGGCAGGACCACGGGGAGCACACTACCCTGCGGCCCAGAACCCGGGCCCAGGCCCCAGCTGCAGCTGGCTGCTCAGCACACCACACCACCCCCTCCACCCCCATTGGCACTTCCAGGCTTTGGCAAGCCTGGCTGGCTACATCCCAGTGCCCTTTGCTGCCCTGTCCACCCAGGGCCATCCGGCCACAGATCCCCACCAATCAGAAGGACTGGACCTAAAGGTGTTCCTGGAACCTCCAGCTCATGGATGCAGCCAACAGACAGCACAGACTCAGATGGTCACAGCCCAGCTTTATTCTCATGTCCCTCCAACCAAGGCTCAGAGATCAGCCCAGGTCACGGTCCCCAGGGAATGGGCCTTGGCTCCCCGTCTGGACCTGGCAGGGGGTTCTCTTGCCCACTCCTGAGAGTCTCCTTCAGCTGAGGGATCCCCCAGAGACCGCCTCCTCAGTGATGACCGCAGGGCCGCACTAGGGGCCACTCGTGGGCCGTCCCCAATACCCACAAGCTGGTCCCAACCCCATCTAGGGGCTCCAGGGCAGGCCGTGGGGAATTCAGGGACCCAGGCCTCTTTGTGCAAAGACTGCCCTGGGGTGCCCTGGCTCCCGGAGCTCTTGGACGGTCCGGGAACCCCACTGACACTCCAGCGGCGAGTAGAATGGTCTCGCGAGGTGACTGTCCCTGAGTTGTCACTGGCTGAGGGAAGGGGTGAGGGGATGTTTCTCCGGCTCCGGTTCCTCAAGGCCTGGAAGAAAATGCTCAGCTCAGGCCTGCCTCCCTCGGGAGGATGCCCAGACTCCAGGGGACCACAGGGGCCCCATACCTTCTGCCCACCCTCTGTCTCCTCCAGACAGGCCGCACTAGCCAGCCCTGGAACAGGCCAGACCTTCCTTCAAGCTGTACTCTTGCTAGTCCCCAAGCACACTGGCACCTCCAAGTCTGCTTCAACCTCTCCTCTCCGAGGCCACCGCATTCCTCATAGAAGCCACACGTGGCCTCTCGCACCCCCCATTTCTTCCATGCCCCACTTCCTTCCCTGAGCATTGTCACCTCTGACATTCTGGGGCGACATGGTCTGAGGGGCTGGGGCTGAACTCCATGTGCATCCAAGGGAAATACCCACTGGACTTCAAAGACTCGGGAGGAAGAAATAATGTCAATGTCTCACGGTGACCTTCTATAGGACTACATGTTGAAATGGTAACATTCAGGCATATTGAGTTAAATAAGATAAAGTTATTTTTTTATAATATTTATCTCTTCAGTTTTTAGGTGGACGCAGCATCTTTATTTCACATTTATGTGCAAAGACTGCCCTGGTGCTGAGAATCGAACCCAGTGCCTCACGCACGCTAGGCGAGCGCACACCACTTGAACCACATCCCCAGCCCCCAAGATAATGTTATTAAAATTCATTTTACCTGTCTCTTTTTACGGGTGATGAAGCTATTAGAAAAGTAAAAACTGCTCATGTGGCTCACATCCTATTTCCATTGGGCAGGACTGTTGTAGATAATGATTTTTTTCGGGGCGGATTGGCGGGGAGTGCCGGGGAATAACTCAGGGACACTCGACCACTGAACCACATCCCCAGCCCTATTTTGTGTTTTATTTAGAGACAGGGTCTCACTGAGCTGCTTAGCACCTCTCCATTGCTGAGGCTGGCTTTGAACTTGGCTGCCCCATCCTCCCGAGCCGCTAGGATTACAGGCGTGCGCCACCACGCCTGGCTGATAATAACGATTTTCATGCGTCTTGTTTCTGTCTGCCTTCCTACACCAGAAAGTCCCTTGCTATATCCGCAGTAGCACACCACCTGGCACTTTGTAATGGATCCTTGTCAGATGAGAAAATGAATGAATGAAGTCAATCTCCCAGGGGCCCCAGCGAGACAGACCCCCATTCCTTCCCCAGACCCCACTCACCCTCTCGGCTGGCATCTGCTTCGTGTTCCTGGAGTGTCTTATTGGGACCATCCCATTCCACGACAGGTCCTGGGGGACACAAGGCAGCCGCTGCGCCCATGGGGCCAAGACCAGAGGACAGGAAAGAAGTCCCCTCGGCCAAGGCGGTGGGCACACAGGGAGTTGGGGGCTCACAGGGACAAGGATCTTTCCCCTCACCTTTGCCATGGGCACTGGGTGCTCCCAGGGGGCCTGGACGGCGCTGGCGGAATCGCTCCCGGGGGGTGTCCCCTGGGCTGAATGACTCGGAGCTTCGCCCCACAGGGAACCGCGAGCTGAGTTTCCGCCGCTGTCCCCCTGCCAGGGTCTCCTCACGCAGGCAGAGGGAGCTCTGGGCCCGGCGCATGAGTGCCGGTGAAGGGGACCCTGTGAAAGGCACAGCAGGGAGGTGTCAGGGAAGTGCAGGGGGGTGCCGGGCAAGCAGAGGTGGCCATGGGTGAGGCTGCCCAGGACCAGGGAGACAGGCGACAGTGCAGAGCAGGGGACAGGCGGCCGAGGTGGCCGCGGAGGCCCTATGCTGGCTTGGAGCTGACTCGCTGCCTCACCTTGGGCAGGGGACCTCCCTCCCTGGGCCTCAGTGTCCTCATCTGCTATCTAGGATAAATGACCTCTCTCTAAAAAGACCCTGCCACCGCAAGGTCCTAGGATGGGGTAGGACTGGGTGGGTGACAGCAGACAGGAGGAAGGGCCAGCAAGAGGAACCCCAAGAGCCCAGGACAAAAAGTGGCTGAAAGCATCTGGACAGGTCGGGGTGGGCAGCAGGGAAGGCCAGCGGGGACATGGGTACCGGCAGGCAGTAAGGCAGGCGCCATTAGGGGGACATAGGGTAGGGACCTCCTGGTCACCTGGCCCTCAGACCCACCTGTCCCATCCGCCTCCCTGCCCTCGGGGAGCTCCGTCTCCGGGGGGCCCCCCAGGCTCTCGGTGCTGCCAGCCCCATCGGCCCCCAGGCGTGGCCCCCCATGGGGGACCCCCTCCCTCCGGGGCCGCATCAGCCTCTTCACCTTGTCTGCCAGCCAGCTGCCCTTCCTGGGGGCAAGAGGGCACAAGAGGGCGTCAGGACGGGAGGCAGGAGGGAAGGCGGGTGGTCAGGGATGGCAAAGGCCAGGCTAACCCTCACTAGGGCCTGCCCCTGAGCTGGGCCAGGGGTTAGAGGACAGGGCAGGCCGGGGCCCAGGTGGCAGGATCCCAGCCCCAGGGAGGCGAGGGGGCCTCACTTGGTCCGGGGCAGGGGCCCAGGCTCTAGCACGCGGTACTGGTCCATGATCTTCTCCACCAGCTTCTGCTTCTCCCGGCGCAGGGCGTTAAGCTGGTCCCTGGGAGGAGTGGGGGGCGGGGGATGAGGCCCTGGAAGGCCCAGGGAGGAGCTAAGCGCAGTAGAAGGTTCCCGCGTGCAAGTGTGCTGCTGAGACTGAGCCTGGGCGCTGGGTCTGGCGCTTTTCCTGGGACCCCCCCCCCCGGGCTCCCCATGAAGCCCCCCAGGAGTGCCGCGTCCCGCCAGCGGCCTGCTCACAGGTACTCCCGCTGCTCGCGGTGCAGGTGGTCGCGGCTCTGCAGGCTGCGCTCCAGGAGCTCCCTGTTCTCCCGGCTCAGGGCCTGCACCTCGGCCAGCAGCTGCCGGTTCTCCTCTTCCTGGGCACTCCGGAGCTCGCTCAGCAGCTGGCAGGTGGTGGCACTG